AAAGTAACCTAAAAAAATGCGTAAATGGTGTAGATAATTGTTGTATTTACAGTAGGCTAATAGGACTTTAGCTTAAATTCTAACAGGACCTACACTGCATGAATGTCAGTCTGTAAACTTCATGCTAACTGAGGACGGGAAGGGAGGGGAATGAAAAGGGATTTCTCTTACATTGTATGTTATGTAGGCTCACTGATTAGTGCAGCATTCAACCTTTCACTACATCGGCCTGTTGGTTTTTATTTTTAGCCTTTTATAGCGTTGAGTCTGTTTTCCCTGTGCGTGACTTGTAGGAGGTGTGGCTTTCAGCTTCTTCCAGAATGAGAGGGGGAGTGGGGGATTAGGCCTTTAAAATTTCAAAATCTCATCCTCCTGTCCTCAATGACATCACTTTACGGACTACTGCTTTAACATGCCTAAAGATTCAAACTATACTCTGATCACCAATGACAACAAATCATCATTGCTTACCTTTATCCATTCCCATTGGGGGTTTCAGCGTCTTTTTCCATACACCAAAAAACTGCACCTTCTGGCAGAAATCATGCCATCTTCCCTTCAGTTCATTGATGAAGTTGCCATTATCTTTATCCAAAATGCGATGAAGCTCCTCCATTACCTATAAAGTATTCAGCATACCAATACAAACATGTCAATGCATCACTGAAGAGCAAGATGTTGGTATGATAAACATTGTGTTTGGTTTGAATCACGTGCATTCAATAATGACTTACATGTCCAATGACCTTGAAACAAGGATATGCTTCTAGAACCTTTTTGTGTCTGTCCTCCTCTCGAATAGTATTTGAATCAATGAATGCTCTTCTGGCTGAAAATTCCAAATCCAGGAGCTGAGAGACATCTTGGTGGTTTGGGTTTTTTCTCTTAAACAAAGTTTGTAGGGTCTTGTAGTGCTTGGCCAAGGTTGCTGGACCATAGGTGTCTGGACTGTTGATATCTGCAGGCTTGTTTGCTGCAAGACACAAAATCACATGACAAATGTCCCTCACTTTAAAAAAAATCTCATGTCATTAAAATGACAAAATGTCAGAAATCTGCCTTAAAAAAATATAGACTCTACTTGTTAAATCTTTTAACAAACTACAGTCCTGATCTTAACTATAAAATACCTATTCATTTTTCAGAAGATTTACCATGTAAATGCCAATTTACATAATGCAAAAAGCTCTTATGGTCATGCAAGCGCATACAATTGCATGTAGGCACACAAGTGCACCCCTACAAAGATGTGCCCACACCACACACACACACACACACACACACACACACACACACAGCCATGGGGCAGTTGGATAGACTCACTATTAGGACTTGGCAGGGTAGAGGGTTCTTCAAGTAGGTTTTGTGCTTTTATTTTTCCTTAAAGACATGGCACAGAGATCTTTTTGTCAGGGTGATACATTTTAAAAATCATTTTGGAACCTAAACCAAAAAATTGTTAAAAAGAGAAAAAAAATGCCTCTAGTGAGGCACATTGGTTTTCAAAAACATTACATTATATGATATACTGAGTGGTTATAGAACGTGATGTTGCACAGATTGATACTAGAAACGTAGCACGGTACCCAGCTCTTCAAAATTATAATATACTGGCTTTTATTAATACTGATACTTTATTAAGATTAATTTCCACAGTAATGTTAATAAACTGATAAAACAGGACAAATGTGATGTAATTACCACCCTCTGATGCCCATTTTAAAGCCTTTTACTTCTGTCATGTCAGGACTGCCATCTTAACTCAATATGTGGGTATATTAGTTTTAATGAATTATGATGACCACACAATGACAAGTTTGTAAATGTAAAGTTGAAACTTACCTTCTAACTCACTTGTTTTACTGGCCAAGTCTGGGCTGCTCCTCCCTTCTGTGGACTGATCCAGAATGATTGTTGAGTCACTTGAATCAAATTCTTCTATGGCACTTGGCTGATCAAGACGTCGCCTCTTTGTACAGCTGCAAAGATTAGTCAGTTAATCAATTAGTTGTCAACTAAGAACTCAATCAATCCATATCTTTATTTGTATAGCCCTTTTCATATGTACAAAGTGTAACACAAAGTGCTTCTTCCTTTCATGCTAAAACAGATGAGGAAATTAAAGGCAGGTCACCAAATACTTTGACATGATTGATCTTTTTGCATCACTTTTTTTTTTTTTATAAAATGCCCAAACATGATTTCAGCTTTTCAAATGACTTTTTCCCCAAGCTTGTTTGTCCTCTATGACATTGAAATTAAAATAGTCATGTTGTGAACAAAACAAGACATTTGAGGAAAACTTTTCACAACTTTGACATCTTACTGATAAAACAACTTATCAATTAATGAGGAAAATGAATAACAGAATTATCATTGCTAAAATTAAAATTAATTAGTTGCAGCCTTACCTCTTTGAATGTCTCCCATCTGGAGTCGCTTTTTGGGGGGTTCTCACATTTTGCAGTCTTTTGTTTAGCTGTGCGTACACAGTGACCTGTACAGGACATTTAATACATTTTTCCAACCACTACTAAAAATGTCCAACATGAAACACTTTGGTCATAAACTGGATGCATTTCACTTACCCATGTATTCTTGATGCCTTGGTCCTGTAGCATGGGGTAGTACTGTACTATTCTCTTTGCCATTGCTGTAATTTCTGGTTTTGATGGGTATCTATGCGATTCTCCATCCCCATTTGCCCTCAGGATTGCAATCATACTAGTCATGGTGTTTCGGATGAGCCGACATCTGAGCTCCTTTGACATTTTGCAGCTGTGCTCTTCACCTTTCTTTGACAACTCAAAGTAATGTTGGCGGACTTGCTCAAGTTCAGTGTCAGTGTGCAATACATATTCTGGATAGAATAACTTCACAACCTTTTCAGGGCTTGTGCACTTTGCAGGAGTTGCATTTACAGTAGTGGATTTCTGTTGCATGGTTGACTCATTAATGGAGGAGCTGCTTGAAGATTTTGAGAAATCTTGGCCAGAGTCCTGTAAAATAAAGAATAATGAACAGCAGCAAAATGCAACATTTTGTTGTGGGGGTGGGGGGAATCGGGGGGAGTGAAGAGTCATCCAACTCTGCCCGCAATCAGGTTAAACTATCAGTGGTTTGATCACATTCCAGAGTTGAAAAACCTGGTAAACTGGTTTGACAATCAGACTGGTTGTAACTCCGCAAGTAATTCCTATGACGGACGGTGGTTCCTCTGATGTAAGGCAGCTTCAGGGGGACAATATTTTCCATTCACAACCAAGTGACCATAGACTGACCATGATTTTGCCTGAAATAATTAGCCTGTTTTATAATGTTAGACTACATCAACATTTAAACACTTGACAACAGCCTACTGTAACAGGAATGAAGATTAAAAAAAGGTAGATTTGGTGACTGGTGTCAAAACAAAAAATAATTGCAAAAGGAACAAAAACATGCCGATGACAACTTTAATAGGTGGTGAGTGACTGAGAAACTGACCTCCAATACACCCTGACAGGCATGCCAGACTGCTTTTCTACGTAAAAAGTTCTCTGGGCCTGGGAAAAGATCCTGCAAGTCTTCACGAGACAGGGTGCCCATCATTCCTTCACTGATGTTTGCAGCTATGAACACATTGGAAGACAAACATAGCAAGATGAAATGATGTCCTACAAATGAAACTGCATGAGATGAGACTATTAAAGTTGACACTTCATTAAAATTTTGTTGCTATTGCTAACTAGTTTAGTAGAGAAATGTGGATACCTCATTGTCTGCTACTGTTTGTTGTATAGCGCTAATGAGCAACATGCTAAGAGGCAGCCACCAGGAGCTGCGTGTTGGCGATGACAGCGCCAGAGAAGCTGGCTCTCTCTGTTTTGTCCTAATTGGTCTCTTAACCCAGTTACTTCTTCACAAATCTACTCAAGTAAAAGTGAAAAATATAGTGCAGTAAAACTACTCTTAGTACATTTTCCCCCAAAAACTTAATAAAATAAATGTAAAGTAGTAAATGTTACTGAGAACTATCCACCTCTAAGGATGAATAAATCACGTGAAATGGAAGGTTAAAATTCATTTAAACATCATAGACCACATTATTTATAAAATAATTTAATTTACAAACTTCCATATTCATACAGCTNAATCTACTCAAGTAAAAGTGAAAAATATAGTGCAGTAAAACTACTCTTAGTACATTTTCCCCCAAAAACTTAATAAAATAAATGTAAAGTAGTAACACAAATAAAGACAAATGTTCCTCAAATGAGGAAATGATCACGTGAAATGGAAGGTTAAAATTCATTTAAACATCATAGACCACATTATTTATAAAATAATTTAATTTACAAACTTCCATATTCATACAGCTGTGTAAAACATAAGTCCATTTAATTTGTTTAAAAATAAAATTCGCATACATTACCCCTTAGAATCGACACTGTGACCTCATCCAGTTCTTCCATGCTGTTAGCCGATTTAGCTTAGTTAGCTCTGCTGGCGTTAGCTTGCCTCGTGCCGTCTCTGTTCAGCTACATCGTTATACAATATAAACACACCGAAACATTTAGAACATTCGAAAGGAGTGTAATATGTACAATATAATGACCACTGTATAATACATGTTAACTTACTTCCAATGAAACACGGATGCAAAGAACTCAGGACAGTATTCTTCAAGCAAAAGAAAGTGGCGGGCACTGAAGATGTCCAACTGATCATTTAGCTGGCGAATGAGAAGCCAACTTCAGCCTCGTGTGAAACACGAAGTTCGTCCTCAATTTGCCTCACATTTCTTTGGCCCAAAAAAATCCTAAAAGGAAGACTGATTTGTTTTTAAACAAAACAACTGTCTCAATTAACGTTAATTTCTTCTAGGTTAATAAAAGAGAATTTAGTTTACCCCCACATTTACGACAATTTAGTTGGCGCGTGTACCCATGGTAATGAGTTATTTTACGGCAGTCATACAGTAACTGCAGCCCCGCGCTACCGACTGAAACATACTAACTTCCAACATGATTTGGCGTTGCTTCATATGCAACGTGTTTGTAGCATTGACTCTGAGACAACTTTTGAGTCACATTAACACCATACACAGCCGCAGCCCTGACTTTCGCGTGTTGTGTGGAATTGATAACTGTCCGAGTGAGTACAGAGTGTATAACTCCTATCACGTAAAGCGGACACACGCCCATCACCTTCTCGGAGTGGAAGCGGATGAGGAGGAAGGATCAACTCGCCACGGTTTACCTGGAGCAGGTGAAATGACAGCCACAATCAACCAAACTAACGCCAGTTCTTCAGTAACTGACGAGGGCTCAAGTATCCCCGCACTAACGGTAAGTTATTTTAACACAAGCGGGAGAAACGAGCTGCAGAAGCTGTAACAATGTTAGCATTTACTGTGCCTGATCCAAGCACGTCCATTAAACGTGTTTGTTTTTAACAGACTCATGTTGTACTTTTATTTTAGCAGTGATGAATGTCGAACTAGTTGCTTTGTTAAATTCAGTAACTCACCTGAAACATAAATGAGAGCTGCGGCAGAAACGCAAAGCTGCAGTCTAGTCAGACTGCTTTTTTTCCACTCATCCATTCGCTCCGGTGAATTAGAGGCCGGGCCGGGCCATGATCAAGCATTTGTGTGTGTTTTTTTTTTTTTAAATCATTACTTAATTAGCCTAATTGGGTGGAGAGCTATGCCATAATTATAAATGTAGCTCCCTCCCGTAAGACACGAGCACAAGAGTCCTTTGCATTTAACTGAGCCGACGGTTTATTCGA